ATTGCAATCAAAGGAAAGGGATGTAGGTGGATTACATGAAATGCATTGGTGATAGATTAAGGGGGTGGGATAAAGCAAAGCAGGAAAACCTCTGGGATAGGATAAAAAGTGAAATGATGGACATGTGCTGCTTTTACATAGATGGATACAGGATAGTTCACCATAATTAACAGTTGACAATTAACTTGATAACATAACAATGAGGAAATGTCCTGGTGATATTTGTTGCACCCTGAAGGGTCCAGAAAAAAAGAGAAATTTACAAATTACCCAGACATTTCACAGATATGTTATCCTAGAGGCAAAAAGGCAAATGGGCTCAGTAAAGATCTAAGTTGATCTTTGTCAGGGAAAATACAGGCCTAGGACATGACAACCCACTATAACCTGTTTGCAGTTAAATATTTAATTTTCAGACCATCTTTTGTGGTTACTTTAGGTCTCTGAGTCTGCAAGACTGCCATGCAGGCCTCCCCTGAGCTTGTCAGGTTGGCATGTGGCCCCTTTTGTCCACACTGCACATGCTTAAAAATGCAGTGAGCAACACTGAAAATCCTACCTATACCCCATGCGAAGCCACATACATAGGTCTCCCAGAGACATTGCAGGGCCATTTTAAACTGTCACAGAGAATTGGAAGCCCAGCATGCAAGGAATCATTTTCAAGGTCCCAGGTGTGTGGTGATTTTGCTCAGGAATATGGACCCAGGTACCCAATTAGTCCGAATAAGACTAGAATTATATGTGCGAGAGTCATGGAGAATGGCATGAATCACTAACTGTTGGTATGTATTTTCCTCCAAGCAGCTTTTTCTCCAAGTTCAAGGCATCAAAGGCATCATCAGATATTGATATAGAGGTAAATTTGAGGAGGACAAAGTACTGTGGCGGGACAAAGCACGGGAAATGTAGAGTTCATGTCTCCCCATGTGTTTTCTAGGAACGTGGATTTTGGAGAAGGCGGGCCCTTTGGCTGAAAAATATGTATGGCGGCAAGAAACACAAGCGGAAGTCACAGGAGCAGGAGTTGTTCCAAAAAACGTAAATAATAGGGAACACTTAGAATTTTTATCTAAAATGAGGAAATAATGAATAGTTTAATTGTTCCTTTCAAGTGTCAAAGCCTAGACCTTCTTCTTTTTCTTCTTACCCTAGGAAGTGGAGTAAATCCTCCCCTTCATTAACACACATTAATGACTCAGAGTCTACAGAGGAGACAGGAGGGGAAATTACTTCCTAAAATCTCAGGAATGAACCCCACCTTAAGGCTTATTAATAAAGCACGAGTGGCTCAGTGCATGAAATTCGTGCCTGGGGGGGGTGTCCCTTAGCCCGGCATGTACCCTCTCCAATCTGGGACACCTCGGGGGATGTTGGACATCCCTCTGTCAATCTGGGACCAGTGGCTCCTAACCGCTTGCCTGCCTGCCTGCCTGCCTGATTGCCTCTATCTGCCTCTGCCTGCCAGCCTGATCACCCTCTAACCGCTCCCCTGCCAGCCCAATTGCTGCCTAACTGCTGCCCTGCTGGCCTGATCGCCCCCAGCTGCCCTCCTCTACCGCGACCTGCCTCCTCCACAAGAACCTGCCTCCCTCACATGAGTTGGCAGAGATGCTGATACTGGCTTCCTCCACACCATGCAGAGCCATGGGACCCCTAGGCCTCACCATGTGGAGCGGCCACTGGGCACCACCTCTGCTGTGCACTTGGCGATCTTGTGGTGGCCATCTTGTGGCGACATCATGTGCAAGGATGTGAGGACCACCTAGGCCAGGGGTGGGCAACCCCTGGCATGCGTGCCAAACATGACACGCCAGTAACTTTTGCTGGCATGTGAAACCTTCTCTTATAATCTTCCATTTACAATTTTTTCTTAATATACACCTTTTTATTTTTCAGATAAATTCAGTGTAGGTGCATCTTAGATAAGTAAATAATTTTACATAACAAGTTATCTTAAAGACCATAGACATGGATTGACGACGAGAGAGGAGAGCAGTTTCTATGTCTCTGCCTTAACTCTCCCTGCATTCCTAGATCTGACCAGTGTTTTGGTTTCATCCACATTCGCTGCTTAATCTTTGTTCTCAGTGATGGATTTTGTTAAGTCTCGTAATAGGAGTAGCCTGATGGATGAAAGTAGTAGCTCGTGCATATCTCTGAAGGTCACAAAATATAAACCTGATGTAAAATCTCTGTCATCAGTGATGCAGCAGCAAAAGTCCCACTGATAATATCAAATGGAGTCATAAAGTTTTTTTCATCATCATATAATCATATACTGTCGCTCGAATGAATTTTGTTATTTCTTCAAGGTTCTTCACATACGTACACCTTAAGAGATATCAAGTAGTCAAGTAGGCA